GCCCCGCGCTGGGTATTCACTCCGATAAGATCAGGTTCTAAGAAGCACCCAGGCGCTGAGCCCTAGCAATCTGTCTGCAAGCCGCAGGTGAATTGCAGCCTGAAATTACCTGTTCTATGGCTGAATGAGCTGCGGTCAGTCGAAAACAGCGGTGGTGACGTCAGTTTACCAACATGGTGGCTGCTGGCCTCCTCTGTGGTCTGACCGGTGTGGAGAACCGAGATGGACCGCTTCCTTCCCCCGTCTTGAACCCAGAATTCAGCCCTGAGTACGGTGCTTGCGCGGCTGGCAGAAACTGCAGCGCTGTAACCCTGCATCTCTATCCCAGCGCACGCTGCAGATTCTAGCCTCGGGCCGATTTGCTGAATAAGCAGTGCGACAAACCTCTCGCGTTTGAGTCCCCGTAGCTGATCCTCGTGCGATGGAAATCCTTCCTCCAGGTTCCGGAGCACCCCACTATTGCTGGAAATTCCTAACAAGATATCCTTTAGCCGTCCTGACTTGTCATACTCCCATACAGTGAAGCAGCACACGGGGGCAATGCACTCCCCTCGCCGCCATCTTTCCCCTCCCCCCCCCCTAAATCTTTATATATTTTTTTCTCTCACCTATCTGTCTTCATGGATTCTTTCTCACTTCTCCCATACTAAAAGCAAATGTTTATTAATTTTGTTTTCACTTTTACCTCTATATTCTCTCTTTCTCCCTTAAAACACCACATCTTACAGTACTTCTGTTCTCTCATTGTCCAATATTAGAAATTGTGAACCCTTTTAGCAAACTTACTATTTATATTGTAGACAATAATTTAATACATCATTTCTGTTTATTGTGACAAAACTGTGGATGCTTTAATAGGAGTATTAGGATTAAAGGTGTATATTATTTGCATTGGGTGCTATTAATATTAGCCTTCCTCTTAAATGTGAGGTATTGGGAGAATTTAGGGTCACTATAAGACCACAGGGTAGAAACTACTGCCTCAGAGTCATACTGCTATGTGGGAAAAAACACAAACAGCATGAAAATCAAGAGATCAAAGTGCCTCAAAAAGCCATCAAGTTCCAACAATGGAATCTATAGATGACAGAGTAGAAGAAATATCAGAAAGGAATTTAGAAGATACATAATTTGGCTAAGCTTTCAAATGAAGGATGATACAGTAGAGGAAATACAGTAAGTAAAATATCATGTCAATAAAGAGGTAAAGATTATAAAAAGAAATCAAACAGAAATCTTCAAATGAAGACAACAATAAACCAAATTAAAATTTTAATGAAAAATATCACTAACAGACTGGATTACTTAGAAGAAAAAGAACCACAGGAAATGAAAATGAAATCAACCACACTAAGAAGATGATAAGAAATTATGAACAGAAATTCTAAGAAATACAAGATAACATGAAAAGACCAAAATAGATGAAGTCTTGAAGATACAAACCAAAGTAATGCATAACCTTTTTGAAAATAATATCAGAAAATTTTCCAAATCTAAAGAATAAAATGGAAAATCAACTACAAGAGCCTTACAAGACCCCAGATGAACAAAATTACAGCAAAACCTCCCCAAGGCACATTATAATAAGAGTGAATAACCAACAGAATAAGAATAGAATTTTAAAGCCTGCAAGAAACAAAGATTACATATAGGGGTAAACCAATTTAGATTTTATCTGTTTTCTCAACCCAAACCCTCAATTGCAGGAGGTCCTTGAATAATATATATCAAGCTCTAAAAGAAAGTGAATTCCAACCAAGATCATTGTATATAGCAAAATTAAGCTTCAGATTTAAAGATGCGGGCTCTGAGAATCTGCCATATTTAGAGAAGGACAGAGATAAAATGCCAAAAGTGTGCAGATGGGAGGAGGCATCAGGAGAGCTTGGTGGCATGCAGCCACCAGAAAGCAGCCTTTTCAGCTGATTCCACCCTTGCTTAAGAGTCTTGACTCAATAAGAAGTGAATTCTGTACAAAATGAGTAAATAAGAGATGAGCAAAGCAGGGGCAGAGAATGGAGCATTAGGGAGAAAAGTGAGAAGCAGAGAGCAAGGGGTGAGGGAGCCTGTCTTTATAGTTTCCCTTTGGATGAAATCTGCTTATAACAGACTCAGCTCAACAGCCTGGTTGGGAAAAGGTTCTGCTCCAATCTCACCCCAATTATTAATTGGAAAGCCCCCTGGAAAAAAATTGCTGTGAAAAGATTAGAAAATTTAGGATCAGAAAACCCTAGCAGCACTAGTTCATCCTTTACCCAGGATAATTATACTTCATGATTTAGTGCTTAGTTTAAGTGTCTGCTCACAAAACTATACTGTTTTTCCTTGGAAGATTATAAATTAGGAGGAGTTCTTAGAACTTATATTATCTTTGAGAGCATGAATGATTCCTTCAGTTTAGACTTGCCCATTAATTATTTGAAGAAATAAATTATTTTATTTGAGAGATAAATTATGTCCTCTGGTGATATGTACAATGTGAATATTTTTATAATTGTAGTCTATAACTTAATGCATGAAGCTGTTTTGAGAATGAATTATGCTGAGTAATTTTTGGGATTTAGAATCTCACCTTTATGAAGTCTGTGTTCATGGTCTTTTTAACACCTACCTTTGATTCTATAAAAATCATTGAGATACCGTTATTGCCTAATTCAGTACTCTCAATTATCATTTACCAGTGCTTTTTAGAATTTGGCATTCTATTTTGAAATCTACATTATGCCAAGAACTTTGGAAAATTAATTTACTGCTGATACTTTTATTAACATTTTTTAAATTTCAGTCTGAATAGAAGCTGCCATATTTGGACTGGAGTTACTTAGTCAAATTATAGCTAAATTTAAGATTTTTCTCTGTAGAAATGAATGTGAAAAGTACTTGTGTCAATTCAATTTGAAGTGAAAGGAGATATTGGCAACCTGCCTTTGGCTGATCTTTGATCCTTAGTTGTGAGTGGACTGTCTAGTTATTTAGTGCTTGGCCTTCAGCTACTAGACTATTTATGAATTTGAATAAATTGTAAATGCCCTGGGTACAAATTAATAATTTCTTTGATTTTGTAAGGAAATAAAGAATATTGGCAGTCATGTAATTTTTGAAAAGCATTTAGTAATTAAAAAACATTTCTGAATTCTTCATAGAAAACATCCTTTATTTAGTACAATTTTGTGTACTTACTATTAACATCTTTAGGAATATATAATATTTAAACATTGAAAAGAGGCAATACAAAATGGTAGGTAGAATGTGAACTTAGAAATCTGACTGACTGCCTGGTCTCAAATCCTGGCTCTGACATGGCACAGCCATGTAGCCTTGGGCACACTACTCAACATCTCAGGATTTTTCTTTCCTTTTCTGTAAAGATGGCATAGTAAAAATGCCTGCATCAGGATTGCTGTAGGAAAACCTCTTGAAAATGTATAAGAATGTGTAAATCTTTGGACCTTAAGTAATACCCAGGTCATAGAAAGACCATCCTAACTTTTCTTTCTCTTTCTTTCTTTTTCTTTCTTTCTTTCTTTCCTTCCTTCCTTCCTTCCTTCCTTCCTTCCTTCCTTCCTTCCTTCCTTCCTTCCTTCCTTCCTTCTTTTCCCTTATTACAGGAGGTCCCTCTTATTCAGTTTCCTTTCCATAATTTTAGTTACTAGGTAATCTGCAGTTCTAAGTTGTTGCATGGAAAATTCCATAAATAAAAACTTCATGAGTTTTAAATATGTGCTATTCTGAGTATAGTGATGAAATAATGATCCTTCCCATTGAGGAAGAATCTGCTGGCCACTCTGAAGATGTTCAAGATGCCCTGCTCCACAGGGGAGAGCTCCAGCAGACTGTCGCTGGTGTCCGCATGCACTACACCTATGGGACAGTCTGGGAGCACCTGCAGGTGGCAGCCAATGCCCACATTGTAGTACAGCCGCTGCAGCTGCTTGATGTAATCACCGGCGCTGCTCTGGATGGCAGCCTCCAGGTGCTGTGAGGCTGCCAGCAGGCTCTCCCAGCGGTGCTCCAGCTCGGCCTCCAGCGTGCTGTTCAGTGAGGTGGTTGCGGTGGGGCCCCCTCTGCCTGTCCAGGGTGCCAGCAGGGCCAGCAGGACTGCCAGGAGCAGAGCCTCCCCTGCTGTCCCGGCCCCGCCATCCTGGCCCGAGGGCCGTGTGTCCATCAAGTGGTCCTTGCACCTGGGAAGCAGGAAGCGAGCAGCTCCAGAGGCCGCCGCAGGAGCGCATGGTCTGGTCCCAGAGGAGCGGCAGAGAGAGGAGCCGACGGTGAACAAAGGGGTACCCTGGCGTGGACGCTAAGCTCCCTGGGCTGCAGAGGGACTCCCTGCTGCAGCTGGGACTCTACCAGATGGTGCTGCGCCTCCCTGCACGCTAGTTATGCAGGTTTTAAAGTTACTATCCAAATTTCTCACAGTGTTTTTCAAATGACATTGTTCTTGGTTACAGAAAATTCTTGGCTTGATTCTTGGTATGAAACTGGAAGTGAAAAGCACATCTTCTCTTGGCTTCCTTTTCTTACCTTACACATTAACCCTGAAAGTAAAACCCATCGTGTGGACAACCCTTCAAAGATGCTTTTTATCATTCAAGACCCTGTTTTAGCAGACAGAGAAGGTACTGGAGATCCAGACCTTATTTCTTGTTATTCTGAGGGAAAAAATGGTGCTGAAAATGCCTGATGAAGGGAGGGTCCCTCACTCACAGTCTAGGTCAGAGAAGGAGGTGCACAGTAACAATGACAGATGTTTTGCCCTCTGCATCCTCCAAATGCGTCTCATTTTACATGGTAAAGCTATGTAATGTATCTGCAAGTGTGTGTGTCTGCACCAGATCTGCATGTGTGTATCAGACAGCCAGTATACCCATTTTATTTCATTTTGAACTTTGATAATTAAACTTGATAATTTCAATTTGATGATTAATAATTAGATTATTCTATTTCCATATATTATAACCTATTACAGGGTAAAAGGCTTTGGTTCTTGTCCATGTCTTAAGTAAAATCATGATATTAATTTTCAGACTAAGTTTTTTTTTGTTGTTGTTTTTTTTTTTTTTTTGGTGTTGGAGATTGAACAAAAGGCCTTGTGCATGCAAGGCAAGCACTCTATCAACTAAGCTATATCCCCAGCTAGAGAAAGATTTGTAATGAATATAAAATATCTCCCATCAGAGAAGTGGACATACATGTTTTTTTTTCTCCAAGTGGGGTAATTTCAGTTGGAGAATAAAAGCTGAATATTGTTTCATACATACCTATCTTCCTCTTAACATTTTTAACTAAAAACATTTATGGAAGTAGGATTTATGTTCAGGATATATCTCTTTAGTCTCATGGTTTGTGGCTCTATTATCTTTGAAGCTGTTCTCTTAGAAGTTTCTGCTGATATTGAGCATTCTTTTTTTTTTATTGGTTGTTCAAAACATTACAAAGCTCTTGACATATCATATTTCATACATTTGATTCAGGTGGGTTTTGAACTCCCAATTTTACCCCAAATACAGATTGCAGAATCACGTCAGTTACACATCTACATTTTTACATAATGCCCTATTAGTAACTGTTGTATTCTGCTACCTTTCCTATCCTCTAATATCTCCCCTCCCCTCCCCTCCCATCTTCTCTATCTACCCCATCTACTGTAATTCATTTCTCTCCTTGTTTATTTTCCCATTCCCCTCACAACCTCTTATATGTAATTTTGTATAACAATGAGGATCTCCCTCCATTACCATGCAATTTCCCTTTTCTCTCCCTTTCCCTCCCACCTCATGTATCTGTTTAATGTTAATCTTTTCTTCCTGCT